ACGGATGTCTTTTTTCTTATCGAGCTACACACAATGCCCACACAATGGCCCGAGCAAAAACCGGCATTCACACCCGTTCACTCAGAGCTTCGTTAAAGCACTTCTGGCAGCCTCAAGTCTCGTCGGGTGTGACGATACAAGCTCGCTTCACCTGTGTTCGGGGAGTTTCTCACATTGTTTCCACAGGTCCTCTCAGGCTCTGTCAGGTAGAGCACGTCAGCTTGCTGCACAGTTATTTTCCCATCTCTCCTGAGGTGTTCAATCAGAGCCTGGCCTGGCCAATAGGCACGCAGACAGGACAATAAAGGAGTGGCTGTGTTGTTTTGTTTTGGCTGGCTGTGGCGAAACAAATAAAAAGTATATTTAATCCATTTTTGGAAAAAGACTGTCACAAAACAAATTGTGGAAAAAGTGAAGGGTTTGAATATTTCATAAATGCTCTCAACGTGGTGGGACTAGAATGTAACTTATGACTAATATAACTTCTGTAGCCAAATCACCCCCCCCCCAAAAAAAACCCACAAACTTCTTCTACAATGGTTGCAAAAAATGAAAATGTTTAACATTTTGTAGCCATGATATTATTTTCAACTTGTGGATGGTCCTGGCGTGGTTTTCATAGCACCATGTAAAAATCATTAAAATGCTTACGTCCCCGTTAAAATGAAGAATCACAGTTTGAAACCGGTACTTGCAATCAACTGCTTTGTATGCAAAACAACGGCTAGGCTGTTCATTGCTGTAAATATTTTAAATAGGTAATAAATGAATCAATAATTAGAGAGAGGCTCAGCAGGTAACTGAAAGTCTCACATTAATTGCTGTGAATATTCCGTTATATTTCAATGTATCAAACCGAAGCCATTTGCATTTAATGAGGCACTGCATTATGAACCAGAAAGCCACAACAGCACAAACTAATAAAGTTAGTCGAATTAATCAGGTATTACAGATATCGCCGTGAGTTGAAACAATACCGACAGGTATACTGCTCGGGTGCAAACCATTCAATTTTAAAGCCCTCTTGACGGCAATTACTAACTGGCTATACAGAAGATTGCAAACCGTGCTCTAATGCATGCCGTTAGAGTTAGGGGAGTGTTTACAACATTTTCCGTAACGTTCTGTAACGAAGTGCGCGTATTAAATTGACCTTTGTTTATAATGATTCATTGAATCAAAAATGCTGTAGCTCCGAAAAGGGAGCGGGTCACACGTAAACTGTGCAGAGCAGAACTAACACCAACCGCACAGTTCTTCCTAATTCGGAAACAGGACATTTGGGATGAGGACATTTTCTCTTTGTCCAAATCGATATAACTGGACGACGACTGGACCCAGAGACATTTATCCGTTATTGGCGATTCAATGGCACCATTCGAGTCAAATACCGAACACGAATTGTCACCATGTTCACGGCAACGACATTTAAATAGCGTGCGGTAAGTGCCGAGGGGATTCTAATTGCATAACCAGACAATCTGGCTGGCTGCACTGAAATGCAGAAATGTCTCCATCCAAGCTGAAATTCTTTCCACATACCTGCGCTTGTGAGAAGATACAGTACAGGCTTACTGCCTTTCCTGGTCAATGTAAACACTATAACTTCATGTGAAGCCAGCACTCCTGATAATAAATGGATTCAGTTCTGATGCAATCAGCAGTTAACATATCGTATTTAATATTTTCCTTTGGCTGTAAGCATTTATAGGTTGCAATGAAACAACACCTTTTTCATTTCATCAGCTATCTACTAGTTGGATCGAGGAGCATTGGATACTACGCTTTTGGCTGTTCACGGTGTCTCTAGTGTGTCTCTGGTGTGCCTGTTTCTCTGGTGTGTCTCTGTTGTGCATGTTTCTCTTGTGTGTCTCCGGTGTGCCTGTTTCTCTTGTGTGTCTCTATTGTGCCTGTTTCTCTTGTGTGTTTCTGGTGTGCCTGTTTCTCTTGTGTGTCTCTATTGTGCCTGTTTCTCTTGTGTGTCTCCTGGTGTGCCTGTTTCTCTTGTGTGTCTCTGGTGTGCCTGTTTCTCTTGTGTGTCTCTATTGTGCCTGTTTCTCTTGTGTGTCTCTATTGTGCCTGTTTCTCTTGTGTGTCTCTGTTGTGCTTGTTTCTCTGGTGTGTCTCTGTTGTGCCTGTTTCTCTTGTGTATCTCTGTTGTGCCTGTTTCTCTTGTGTGTCTCTGGTGTGCCTGTTTCTCTTGTGTGTCTCTTATGTGTCTCTGTTGTGCCTGTTTATCTTGTGTGTCTCTTTTGTGCCTGTTCCTCTTGTGTGTCTCTGTTGTGCCTGTTTCTCTTGTGTGTCTCTATTGTGCCTGTTTCTCTTGTGTGTCTCTGCTGTGCCTGTTTCTATTGTGTGTCTCTGGTGTGCCTGTTTCTCTTGTGTGTCTCTGTTGTGCCTGTTTCTCTTGTGTGTCTCTGCTGTGCCTGTTTCTCTTGTGTGTTTCTGGTGTGCCTGTTTCTCTTGTGTCTCTGTTGTGCCTGTTTCTCTTGTGTGTCTCTGTTGTGCCTGTTCCTCTTGTGTGTCTCTGTTGTGCCTGTTTCTCTGGTGTGTCTCTATTGTGCCTGTTTCTTTTGTGTGTCTCTGCTGTGCCTGTTTCTCTGGTGTGTCTCTATTGTGCCTGTTTCTCTTGTGTGTCTCTGTTGTGCCTGTTTCTCTTGTGTGTCTCTGCTGTGCCTGTTTCTCTTGTGTGTCTCTGCTGTGCCTGTTTCTCTGGTGTGTCTCTATTGTGCCTGTTTCTCTTGTGTGTCTCTGTTGTGCCTGTTTCTCTTGTGTGTCTCTGCTGTGCCTGTTTCTCTTGTGTGTCTCTGGTGTCGACATGGTCAGACTAACCTAGAGGGTGAATGGGAGATTCAGCCACCTTTCCTCTCTCCTTTATCCTCTCTCTCCCCTCCTTTTCACCCCTCCTGCACTACCACCCCCAACCCCGCTTCTGTCAACCTCTCCTTTACACCGTCTCCTCTCTACTGCTTTTTATCCTCTCCACCCCTTCTCTCATCTCCACCCACTCCTCTCCACTACCTCCTCTTCACCCCCTCTCCACCCACTCCTCTCCACTACCTCCTCCCCTCCTCTTAAACCCCTCCTCTCCCTTCCTCATCTCCCTCTCTGTGATCTCCTACTTTCTTTCCAGATTGGCTCTTCATCCACTCATCTCCTCCTCTTCTCCACCAGTGCTTTACGTCTCTCTGATCTTCTCTCTTCTCAATCTTAGTTCCCCCTCCGTGGATCCACATCAACAGCAGCAGACCGAACACGCCGCTGATATACACATTTCACTTTAATTACCCTGTTAACAATAGAGCTCTGTAGACCACTGATTCTCATGGCTGACACTAACATTGATACGTTCTCTTCATCACAAGAACAGTCCCAAAAAAAAAAATGATTTTGCGGTGCCCATACAAATTAAACAGTAACTGTGGTGACTCACAACAGACACGGCACGCAGTACCAGTGCGTTTTGTCTAGAACATACAGGACCTTGTACAGCTTCTACCCCCAAGCCTCACGATGATCCCTCTGTGACCACACGGTCTATTCGTACGGACCCTATGCGCTGACTCTTTTAAACCATTTCTGTGGAATGAATGAATTTTAACGGCATGGTTTGAATCGGACAGTAAGAAAAAACAGGGAAATGTTATTCGACACTGGATGCTCACAAAGCATGTGACGAACAACAGTTGAAGTGTACCGAGATGTTACATTACCTCAATAAAGGTGATCACACCGAACACAGAAACATTAAAATACCAACACTTAGAAACACTGCACTGTGGTATAACCCCCCCAAAAAATATTTAGAGAAATGACCTCTCCCCACTCTCTACCAAACGTGTTGCGATGGTCCTACTGTAAATTCAGGGAGCTAATTCCAGTCTCTGCTCAATAGTCCAGGTAATAGTGTGACCGGTAAGACTTATTAATAACTCTACTAACCTGCCCTGTGGGGCTTATGCACAAGTCGGCGTACACGCACAGACATGAGGCAGGTAATTAAAAAAGTCCGAGCTTCAGCAGAGTTTTGCGGGGCTTTGTGCCCGACCACAACCAGAGCCGCCGCCTTATTGCGTTATAATTTTAAAAACCCCGGAATAGCACGTTTCACAGAATACAGTCCCCGCTCTCGCCGGTCGTGCTGCCAAGCTGTGTAGATAAGGAGCCTCAATTCTATCTGTAATACAGCACAGCACTCTAGTGGTCACAAAGGGAGTGAGTGTGTGTGTTTCTGCGGTGTGTGTGTGTGTGTGTATACATGTGTGTGTGTACATGTGTCTGTGTGCTCTGTGCTCATTCACCCAGGCTATTGAGTCCATCACGCACAGAACTTGTCAACACATGACCTCTTATTCCCCGCTCACTCCATTTGAAACCCGGCAGCTAGCGATTTCTGGTCACCCAGGCAACCCCCCATGACCCCATCACCTGCTCCCTCTTCCAGACCGTCTACGGAGCCCGACTCTCATTCCGCGCTGATTCCTGACCGCAGGCAGCGTCGCCTCTGACTCTCCGATGGCCAGAATCACTCAAATCCACTCAAAACACCTCCTCTGACGTCAAGTGCTACTGCTGTCTACTCCGAAAAAACATGGAGGGCTCACCTACTAATGGGACAGGATTAAGGCAAAATGGCAGCAATAATATTATAGCACCGATCACATTATCAACACTAGTGCAATCTTAGGAAAAAAAGGGTTTCTAAAGGGTAATTTGGCTGTTCCAGTGAGAGAACCATGCGATTAACGTAATAACGATTTTTTTGTACGCGGGTTCTATGTGGAATACGATGGGTAAACGGTTACGTGCGGAACCATAAAGAGATCTGCATGAAATCAAAATTAGTTTGTGAAATCTTTTCCAATGGAGACAGCGTTATAAACATTTATGGGGTTTTTTGTTAGAATTTTATGGTAGTATTAGTTAGTTTTCACTATTTTCATTATTTTTTTAACCTGGTAAGCCGATTGACAACAATTTCTTTTTGCAACGGCGACCTGGGAAGATGCTGGGGATTGAACCCAGGACATTTTACTTACAAAGCATGTACTCCACCACTGAGCTACCATCTCCTGTTGCTGTCTGTCTGTGTGTGTGAGTGGGTAGGAGTGTATTTCTGTTCTGTTCAGCAGATTCTGTGTAGGTGGTCAGACAGGTCAAGTGTTCAGCAGGCTTGCAGACAGAAACTGTCTGAGAGCGTTGCCTTGAGGTTGCTTCAAACTTGCATCAAATAAAGCCTCTTCCATGCTAACAGACAGAATTGATCTCCTCCATTCTGCGCGATTCTGTCCAGCTCATCGATTGCGCTGATGACGTAAAATGCCCTATATGGCACAATGTCATAACGCGATCCACAGTGTGTCCACGAGGCTTAAGTCGAATACTTAGATGCAGTCCACATCTGACTGTGGGTGGGAATATGGACACACATCCAATATGAACGACATGTGTGGCTAGAGCGTGCCTGTCCTCTATAGCGCTTTCCGCTTTCATTAGACATCACCTTGGATAGATGATCTGGAGGAGAGAACGTCTCCGGTGAGGCCCCGGGGCCGTCTTTGCCACCCCGCCGTCCATGTGAGTCGAAGAAAAATCACTCTGCTCTGGAGGGGAGTTTGGACGATTCCTGGCTTTTTTACTATTCGCTCTCCGCGTCCGTGATGGATCCAGGACCTTGTGTTTACTATGTTGCACGCGGAACGCTGTATCACAGGATTCTGGGAGGACTTGGGTATAGTCCACTCTCACAAGGTTTTTGGTTAGAATGCGCTGCATCTGAATTGATTCCTTGAGCCACGTGTGTCCTCATATAACCTCTGGATCCCGATGTATAGTCCTGGGTCCACCATCTAACCGTCCCCACTGTTAGCGCATAACGCCTATGGAGGAGTCAAAAAAGTCCATAATGCCAACACGGTTTTTAGATGAAAGCCAGGCGAAAGCATTCGCTCGCATGCATGAAAAGATCGGCGCGTGAAGATTCCGGCACTCGTGCCAATTTCTGACCGCCAGGTATCTGTTATGGAAATGCATATTCTCCGTATAATAAATGTATCGCTTGGAGTCATTAGGAGCGGCAGTCCTGAGCGACGGTTGAGATCTCTAAGTGATTAAACAGCAGAAATTCCGTCTCTTGGCGAGGCTCATAGGCGATTCCAGATGCTTCTATTCCCATGAGCTGGAAAACATAATCGTGATGATTAAAATAAAAAAGGCTTCAAATGTTTCACTTGATGTGTAACGAATCTAGAACGTATAAGTGTGTCCGTTTTATGCGTTAAATTACAAAAACAATATTATTATTATATATTTATATATTATTTTGATATTAATTTTTTACCTGTATTACATAAACTTTGCAGATTAAGGTTCGGGGAATCAATAAAAAAAAAACACTCGCCACAGCCATGTTTGAAATTCTCACTAGCAATCGGTTCACCGGGGAGAATTCGTTGTGCATAGGGAACGTGCTTTGATGATCATCGTTATTTTTCATCTGCCAGGTATTCGTGAGGAGGTGCCAAGTCACAGGCTGGCAGTATGTGGGCATCACATGGTTGGCCCACATTAGTCAAGACCGAAGCTGCTAGAGAAGTTGCTGCTCTATGTAGGCGGTCAATGTGGAGCCCTATAAATGTGTGTGTGTGGGCGTGTGTGTGTGTGTGTGTGATAGAGACGCACATTCATATCAAGGAAACTCAGCAGCCATTCATATCCACAGTGATTTAATAGTCTGATATATTTTCATACGTTTAGGTTCTGGCAACCTGTAGGAATCGAACTCACAACCCTGGTGCTGTATGAATCGCACTCAACTCAACCACACAAAAGAGAAAGAGAACAAAAAAGAGATAGAAAGACAGAGAGAGAAGAGAGATGATTCTAAGGCTGTCTTGTTCAATACTGTCACGTGGAGGTATTGCCTCCTTTTACAACCCATACATTTCCACTAATGAATCTCTGACGTTCGACTCCAGATGTTAGGAGAGCAATTTAAATTAAAGATATTGTTAGGGGACTTGTCAAATTTTGAATACGTGTCGTTAGTACAAAAGCAAATGGATCGCACGTCACACAATCTTCAGCCAGGTGTCATTCAATATGAAGAGAAAGAAGACGTAAATCCATTTACGCGGGACTGGAGAGACTTGATGAGGGTATACACGAGAAGAAACACATTTGAATGCATCTGAAATGCAATGTGGTGATCGGAGGGAAGGAAGTGACTTCGGCAATTAGGGGATAATTACTCACAGTTAAGATGACATTTTGACACAGTAAACTTTAATTTGCATATGAGTGTGTGCGTTTGTGAGTGTATGTGTGTGCGTGTGTGCACACGACAGAGGGAGAGAGTGCCAGGGACCTCTGTGGATATAAGGGGTGTTTGTCATCTCAATTAATCTGTAAGTAATCGTTGAGGCAGTTGAACCATAGTGGCTCCTATTAACTTAACAGAGCACATTTTGCACCACGCCAAGACGAGATTACTTAGTCTAACGTCTAGACTTACACGCCCTTTTAATCTCTTTTTCGAATTAATTTCACTGAGTGCTTGCGGATCTGGCTTTGTTCGACCCTTACTCTAAACAATCTCCGTTGTCAGGAGACTACAGCCTGCAGTGTGTGTGCAGATCACATTGGAGACGTCTAGATACGCAGAACAGCCTGTCCCCCGGCCGTCACGGTTCTTATGGAGTTGCTTGAGGTTTTTCCGTTTACTCACAATATGATCAACATTGAGCAACCCGTGTCTGCGTGACTCATATTTCATAACAGTAGCAATAAAATCCCTGCAACAGTTTGAAGAAACATCACAAGAATAGACATTTATCTGTAGGATTTAGGTACAGTTTGAATTTGTTGTTGTAGTAGGAGAAACTGGGGTGCATTTTAACTCTGCTCACCACGGGACCGGGGCAAATACTGGATGTCTTCTTCTGATGTTGTCTAGGACTCAACGCACTCTGACCTTTCTGTTACGGTAAAACACGTTTGTAGAGACTTTTCACCTCAGGCGAAGAGAAACAAAAGTGACCGATCGAGTTTCATTGTGGCACGCCTGACGACCTTATTAAATTGTATGTGAAGGTGCCTCCCGGCTGGAGCTCGCCACTGTTTTTTTATATTATTGAAAAATCCAATCAATCAGTCAAGCTATCAACCGTATAAAAACACATGAGAGAGACATACAGGCATTCTATATAGTGATTAAATGTTCCTTTACATATTGCAGAAAAGGAGGTAGCAGGAGCGTTGCCAACTGCACTCATTCACTGTCAAACTCTGCATACTGGGAGCTGTGGACCGGCCTCCCAGAGATGGAGGCTCTGTGTATTGAAATGTGCTGTCTATTACATTGTGTGGAATCATGCCCACACAATGCGCATATAGGCAATAAACAGATGTGCAGAAGTTTCCAGATCCAAAGCACCTCATATACGTCTGAGTGACAGGCCAGAGAAAAGGCACCTCATATATATGTCTGAGTGACAGGCCAGAGAATAGGCACCTTATATATATGTCTGAGTGACAGGCCAGAGAAAGGCACCTCATATATATATGTCTGAGTGACAGGCCAGAGAATAGGCACCTTATATATATGTCTGAGTGACAGGCCAGAGAATAGGCACCTTATATATATGTCTGAGTGACAGGCCAGAGAAAGGCACCTCATATATATGTCTGAGTGACAGGCCAGAGAAAGGCACCTCATATATATATGTCTGAGTGACAGGCCAGAGAAAGGCACCTCATATATATGTCTGAGTGACAGGCCAGAGAAAGGCACCTCATATATGTCTGAGTGACAGGCCAGAGAAAGGCACCTCATATATATGTCTGAGTGACAGGCCAGAGAATAGGCACCTTATATATATGTCTGAGTGACAGGCCAGATATATGTCTGAGTGACAGGCCAGAGAATAGGCACCTTATATATATGTCTGAGTGACAGGCCAGAGAAAGGCACCTCATATATATATGTCTGAGTGACAGGCCAGAGGCACCTCATATATATGTCTGAGTGACAGGCCAGAGAAAGGCACCTCATATATATGTCTGAGTGACAGGCCAGAGAATAGGCACCTCATATATATGTCTGAGTGACAGGCCAGAGAAAGGCACCTCATATATATGTCTGAGTGACAGGCCAGAGAATAGGCACCTCATATATATGTCTGAGTGACAGGCCAGAGAATATATATATGTCTGAGTGACAGGCCAGAGAAAGGCATATATGTCTGAGTGACAGGCCAGAGAATAGGCACCTTATATATATGTCTGAGTGACAGGCCAGAGAATAGGCACCTCATATATATATGTCTGAGTGACAGGCCAGAGAAAAGCAACTCATATATATGTCTGAGTGACAGGCCAGAGAAAAGCAACTCATATATATGTCTGATTGACAGGCCAGAGAAAGGCACCTCATTTATACGTCTGATTGACAGGTCAGAGAAAGGCACCTCATATATATATGTCTGAGTGACAGGCCAGAGAAAAGGCATCTCATATATATGTCTGATTGACAGGGCAGAGAAAGGCATCTCATATATATGTCTGAGTGACAGGCCAGAGAAAGGCACCTCATATATATACGTAGATCACATTGAATTGCTTCTATGTATGAATTGTGCTATATAAACAAACCTGCTTGCTTGCTGTATACGAGAATGCCTTCTCAGCTGTGCCTCAGAAATTTTCACCAGTCTTGTTCTGGTTTATTGCTCGACCTGCATGTCTAACATATCACATTGTGTCACGAGAACTTGGGTCTCCGTCTTATCGAACTAATGAGTTCTTTGCTGCTCTGTCACAAAAGATAGATATTTCACTACTGCCCCAGTAACAACCCATGTAGTCACATCTTTGCAAAGTGTTCACCTGCAAGGCAAATGCCAACCCTGGATCAAGGTTCTTCCTGCTTCTGATAACACCAAATGAGTCCTACGCACCCTATAACCCGGATTAGACCAGTGAGCAATGGAGAGAAATGGGGAATCATTCCAAACTTCGACCGCTATAATTTGCTTTTGGAAACCTTTGGCCTTCCCTGAACTAATGTTTTCATG